AATCATTTTGTCAGTGTATTTTCTATTTAAATATGAATATTTTTATTTCGGTTAATTGTTTATCCGAATTTAAATACGAATATCTTAATACGACAACTGTAGCGATAATTTACAATTACCGAATTAAAATAATTACTGAAATTGTAAATTTAAAAATTATATAGAGTAAAAGGGGTTTATTTTGAAAACTTCTTTTTTGTTTTTAAATAAATTGAAGCGGCATGTCGATAGAAAGAGACAGAGTGTGTCTAGCGTCCCCTCTTCTTTCTCTCTCTAGAGACGCAACGCTCGACCGTCATCAAATGTCTGATAGTTTTGATTTTTTAATTAAATTTAAAAATTTAATTTGACAATCAAATTAACACATTTAGAATTTTTTCCATATATGATTTTTTAATTTATTAATTTAATTCTATTAATTAATTTAATTTAAGTAATTTTATTTAAAGAAAATAGTAACTCCCCCTTTTACCCTAAGTGGTGAATTTTTTTAATTTTAAATCGAGTTTGTTAAGTATAATAAATAATCTATATCGAAATAGTGGTATATTACAATATAATACAAATCACAACATCTTAGATTCATTTTGTGATATTATAATAATAATAATTATGCGGAAGAGCGATGCGTGCAAACACTTGTGTTGCTTTTATATTAAAATCTACTTTTCTCTACCAGTGGAAGAAATTTTTTTTTTATTTAAATATTAAATATGTTTATTTTAGTAATGTCACTTTACTATTTTAAATTTCAGTTTTGTGAAATTTTCACAATTTTAATAAGTCGAGCTTCGATGTGTTCTAAATGGTTAATTAACATTTTTAGCATCTCGATTAAATTTTTCGTTTATGAAATATTTTGTTTTTGATAAAATATATTAATATTCAGTAATATTAATAAATTGTTAATATTTTTAATAATATTAACAAAGTATGACAATATTAAATAATATTTAAATATTAAATAATATTTAAATATTAAATAATATTATTATGTCAATATTGAATAATATTATTATGTCAATATTAAATAATATTTACATGATTTAATATTAAATAATTTTATTAAAATTAAATTTAGAACTAGAATTTTATTATGACGGAAATGTTGATACGTCTTTGTATCGTATTGGCAATTTTTTGTTATCGAGGTTCGACTGCATAGTGGAAATAGTAAATATATTTTTTCTTAAACTATAAATAGTTTTTTTTCTTAAATTCACAAAAACTGTGTATAAAAAATTGTTTTTCAAAAACAAGTGAGATTACACCCCAAAAAATATTTTTTCAATAAAAAAAATTTATTTCGAATACTAATAGAATTTATTTTCATGCGTATTCGTTTTTATTTTATTTATTTGCTCAGTTCATTTTGCTTTTTGTTCGTACCTATTTAATTTCTTTATTTATTTATTTACTTTTTATTTAATATTTTATTTTCATATAATTATTTTTTTATTATTTTTATTTTTTACTTTTTTATAATTTGTAAATAAGAGAACTTGGAAAATTTTTATATTATATATTTATTCTTAAATACATTCATAGTAAATATTTTCTATGAATTTATTTATAATAAAAAATTAAATAAGGAATATATTTTAATGTAGTGACTTCATTTTAATGACTTTTAAAGAATCATTTATTGACTCAGCAAATAATAGGTTCCGCGAAATATTTTACAGAGTCTGGCAGGTTAAAACATATTATTTTAGTTTGGGATGACTTTTTTTTTTACTAAAGGTGTGCACTGCACTTACAATTTTACTAATTGTGATTTTTTTTTTTTGTTTTCCAGATGTTTTGTGCTACTTTCAAAAGTTTGGTGATTTTCGACGAAATTCAGTGAGTAATTTAATTGATTTCTTAATTAATTAATTTTGATTTGTATTTTTTGATAAGTGGGAATTTGAACTTTAAAAGCTTTGAATGTTGGGTGTATAAGAACTGAACTGATTGTAAAACGAAAAATTTGAAATAATATTTAAATAGAGAATTCAACAAACGAGTTAATTAAAAGACAATCGCCGCATTATTTCTTCTTATTCGTTTTAAAAAAAGTTGCCGTCTTCTCAGCCTCAACATTTTTTTTGTTTACAAAATTCTAAGCTTAAATTTGAAAATTGAATTCGAATTCAAATTCGAATATATATATATAGAAAGTTTTGAAAAATTTTAAAATATCTAGAAACATTCACCCAGAAAAAAGATATTTGACTCAAGAACTACTAAACTTTTTATTTGTTTTAAATAAGTTTTATTTGGTGCAAAGAAAAATTTTATATGTGCCGAATAAAATTTTCAGTTTATTTTTTAATTTAAAACAAATAAATAATGTGGTAGGCTTTGAGATAATTGTACTTTTCTTTAATTCAAATAAATTATATTTGGTTCAATTAAAATTTTTCTCTGGGTGTTTTTTTCACAGAAAATTCAGTTTTGTAGTTTACTATTGTTATTTCATAAGACAATTTTTTTTAAATATTAAAAGGCAAATATTTATCAATGTTATTTCACGTCTATTATTTCAAAAATTGTATGCACAGTTTGACTTCATTTAATAATAAAGTTAACAAAGTTTTAATAAAATTTTAATAAAGTTTTATAAACTTTATAAAATTTATTCAAAGTTTATAGAATCTGATTTCTAATCAGATCTTTATTGTTTCTCTTTTAGATTTGTGAAAAAAGTCTATTTACAATAGTATTAAAGTTTAGCAAAATGTTTTAGCAAGAATTTTAGGAAAATCGAGTATTAAAAATGTTTGAAATACAAATATGGTCGGGAAAAATTTGATAGAGAATATCAAGAGTTAGATTTTCGTTTTACTTTTTGATTAGAAAATTGTGAAGATCAATGTTTGATCATTAATTCACAGAAAAATTGGGGAGTATTATTTTGACACCAAAATAGATTAAAATAACCTGCAAAGCTTTAATGCATAAAGAATTAAAATAATCTACACAGAAAAAACAAAGTCTAAAAACCGTTTATTTGTTAAAACCAAAATGTTTGAAAAGTAGACTAATTTTTTGGTTTAAAACATAGATTGAGTTAATTTAAAAATTTAAAATCATAGTCTCAAGACTAAAATTCAAAAGTGGTACTAATCCGCCTCTAATCAAAAAATCATGTTCGTTTAAAAAAAATCAGGGTTGCCACGCTTTTGCTCTTTTCAAATTCCCTGACTTTTTCAGGTTAAAAAACGGAATTTTTCCAGGTTTTCAAAACGAAAATTATTCAAAAACATTAATAACATCTTTTTTAAATAAAAATTTAATATTATTATTATTTTTCCACAGGAATTGAGATTTTCAAAAATTTCAAATTCAAAAACTTAGAAAAATATTATAAAACATGAAGATATCAATCACTCCGAGTCTTCGACTCGGAGCAATCGCTCTCTTCATGTTTTTTAATAATTAAAACTTCAAAAATTATTTTTCTCATTACGATTATTCATTTCTAGAATTTTCAACTAAAATTCTTCTTTAAGTCAATTTTTTAAAAATAATTTTTGAAAAAGTTCTTTGTGAATTATCAAAATTCTTTTGTTTACTTTTTAATTTTACGAAATTTCGATTATTCTGACTTTCTTCAATTAAATATAATTAGAAATAAGAAACTTTAAATAATTTTAAAAAATTCAATTAAACTTATTTAGAAAAATTAATTCTATAGAATTCTTAATTAAAAGTATGAAAAGTTCAAATTTCCAAAGATTTTAAATCAATATTTATTAGAAAATTCTACCAGAATTCAATTATTTAACTAATAAAAATAAATATTTTATTAAACAATATTGAATGTTTCTTAAAATTGAATTTTCATAAAGAATTTTATTTTACCAACAAATTTTTTAAATAATTGAATTCTCTTGACAAATTTTAATGAAATTTTTAAGAATAATTGCATTTTTCGAAAAATTTGATGAAAATTATACTAAAAATAATTGAAATCCTGACAAGAATTTTATTAAAGGTTTTGAAAATAATTGATTTTCGGAAAAAATGTTATTATTTATAAAGATAATTGAAATTTTGTCGAGAATTTTTGTAAATTTTTAAACATAATTGGATTTCTGGGAAGAATTTTATTAATGTTATTTTGAAAAAATTTGAATTGTTACGCAAAGAATTTCTTTACAATTTTTAAAAATAATTTTATTCGTTAAAGAAATTTAATTAAAAATGCATTGAAAATAATACTTAAATTCTAATAATAAATAAATTGTAGCAAACGTTATTAAAATAATTAAATTTCTTTGATAAATTTGAATAAAATTTTTAAGTTAATAATAACTTTTTTTGAGGAATTCCATTAAAATTGTATTAAAAATAATTGAAATTTAGCATTGAGTTTCATTATTTATGAAAATAATTGAATCCCTTTAAAAAATGTTATTATTTATGAAAATAATTGAATAATATATCAAAATAATTTGTAAGTAATTGAATTTCTGTGAAATTTTTATTATTTATAAAAATAATTAAATGTTTGCGTTGAATTTTTTTAAAATAATTAAATTCTCGAGAAAAATTTTATTATTTATAAAAACAATTGATTTCTTGCGAAGAATTTTATTACAATTTTTTTAAATAATTGAATTCTTAAGAAGAATTTTATTGAAAATAATGAAAGGAAAATTTTATTAAAATTGCAATTTTATTAACTAAATCTTGTAAAGAAATTTGTTTTAGTGTTTTTAACTAAAATTCTTCTATAAATCCATTATTTTTAATAATCAATTAAATATATATATTAAAAATTTAACTAATTTCAGAAGAATTTTAGTTTAAAATTTTTTTTTAAATCTTAGTTTTTTATACATATTTCTAGTTAAATTCATTTAAAATTGTAATTTTACAAAATTTTAAATTAAAATCTTTTGAAGTTCATCTACTTATGAAAATTGTAAATGCAATTCTTTTAAAATTGAATTAATTTTGAAATATTTAAATGAAATTAGATTTAAAGAATGAACACAATAACTTTAGAAAACAACAATTTTTCAGGATTTCGATAAAAATTCCCTGACTTTTCCAGGCTTTTTTTCAAGGTTTATAAAATTCCCTGACAATTCCAGGTTTTCAGGTTGCATAGCAACCCTGAAGATTCATTTTTTACCGTGTATATACCGAAGGATTACTTTTTCAAAATGATTTGGTTTTGATTTAGACCAATTTTCGTAATTGAAAAAATTTATCCAAAAGTGGATTATTTTAATCTTTTTCGGTGTTAATTTAAGCTACAACTCTTTTTAATATCTGGTAATTTACTGTGTTTTCGTAAAGCACAAATTTTGATTTATTATCGTTCTCTGTGTAGGATTTTAAACTCCACTTGAAAAAAAGTTGTGGTTAGGGCATATTTAACACGAAATTCTAGTTAAAAATAGGTTTTCTGGTAAAACCGGAACTTTTTTTCAATGTTTATTTTGTGTTATATTTACTGATCGTATGCGTAATTACAATACAGTACCTATATTCTGAAAACGATTCGGCAATCGTTTTCTGAATTTCCAAATAAATTAGTCAATTAAATAAATTGGGTTGTTTTTCACATCTGGAAGTATCTGTTGCTGTTTAGTATCTCAAGTAAAGTGGTTTTCTTTAATGACACATTTGTCACTTTTTTTTGGAACAAGGTCCACTCCACGCATTTCGTACTGATGAAATTTAAAGTTGCCAAAGATTGAAAGGCACTCTTTCGTGTTTATTTCTCGAAATGCAAGATTCTCACGCGACAAAAGTTATAGATTCTTTGGTGTGCGACTTTTTTTTGATAAAGACATCATCACTTAAAAAAGATTTTTTTTTTGTTATAAAAATGAGTACATAACGTCTCCTCAAGAGCACGCGCACTCGAGAACTTTCATGTTCTTCCAATTGGAGACTTTTAATTTTGTCGGATCGTTTTCATCGAAATAGAGAATTTCAAGTTCGGCGAGTTTACTTGGTGCACAACATGGTCGTGGCGCCTTTCTTCTGTCCTCCTTCCAAATGAGACTCTGCAGCAAGGCGTGATGATGCGCCGGATTATAACGGGGCGGACACCTTCCCTTACAATAACCAGCGTCAAATGTCTTTGGCTGAATGATAAATTCAAAACCCTTAAGGTCCTTAAAAATGACTGTCATTTGATGTCGACAACATTTTTTACTATCACCACGACACTCTGTACGACGACCCTTGTGCAACGATAATAATTGATCGTGTGCTCCACGTTTATTGCGATGATGATGATGATAATGATAATAATGTTGATGGGTAAAAACATTGAGCACTGGCGATAGGACATTGCAATTTATCGAAATTCCCTTCTCCTGGAATTCCAATTGTAAAGTGAGATAATCACTTTTGGAATGATTATTCTCCTCCTCGTGCCAACTGGCAACGGCCTCGGTTAAATCGAATTCGAGCCATCTTGGTGCCCGAGGCTCTAGTAACTTGCCTTTGGAGATTAATCGTCGAGCGGCACCATTTTGGAGTGACTCGTAAATTAGAATGTTGAGAGTTTCAATCTGATGATTGTGACTACTGAGGAGGAACCTGAGAGTCGAATGGTCCACACTGGAATGAGACCTGTCGGGGATGTTGAGGTGAAAGGTGAGGAGGCGACTGCTGCTGTCATCCGACAAGAAATTACTACAGCAGCTTCCATTTCCAGGATGCTCTGAAATTTATAATAAAAAGAAGTGTGAGATCAAGATGTGTACGATTTTTTTTTCTGATATGATTTTATGCTCGTTAAAATATAAGCGGGAGGCATATTTATATTCCTTGGAAATATTTAAGGGCGTGCTATCTTTCTTCTCGTTATTTATTTGTTCAAGATTTCTTTTTTTTCTGAAATCGTGCTTTTCTTGAGAATTGGAATTCTCTTCGTTACACCAACACTACTTTTCGGTGATGAATTTAATTAATATACTCAATAAATTTAAATTAGTTAAATATTTTATTTTTCATTACAATTATTTTGCAAATCTATAAAACAAAAATAATTATAAAGTTTCTATTTCTAAATGTTAAATTTAAGGTTTTAATTCTACTTGCATTAGTAATTCATAAAAATATTTTTAATAAAAAATAATTCGTTTATTTGAACGTTCAAAATTTGTAGCTCGCGATTATTTATTAATATAAATATATTAATAATTAACTATAATAATTGGAATAGCAACAATTCGCCCGCTAAAGCGCGCGGCTAACTTTTTCCTACCTTTTTTTAAATAAAATTAGCAATATTAAAAATAGTATAAAATTTAAAAATTTTCTATAATTTAAATTTTTGTTGAAAACACTAATTCAATTTTGGAGAATTTACAAATAATTGCAAAAATTCAATTATTATTTTCAAAAAAAAAAAAAATTAAATTCTTCTTATAAAATTCAACTATGTTCAAAATTTGAAAAAAATCCTCGTAAGAATCCCAATTATCTTTATAAATAATAAAATTCTTCTCTAAAGTTCAATTATTTTCAGAAATTTTTCTAATTTTAATGATTTTCAATATCTACGATTTTAATGAAATTCCTCAAAACGAATTCAATTATTTAAAAAAATTTAATTTGAAACTTTTGGAAAATTACAATTATGAATGAATGAATTAAATAATAAAAATTTCACAGGAATTCTATAATTTACAAATTTTTTATAAATTTCTTCGCAATAATTCAATTCTTTTCATGAAGAATAACATTTTTTCTACCAGGAATTCAATTATTTTCATAAATAATAAAAATCATCGCAGAATTTCAATTATTTTTAGTACAATGTTAATGAAGTTTCTTGAAAAATGTAATTATTTAAAAATTTTTATTAAAATTCATTTTTAAAAATTTTAATAAAATTCTTTTTATCAATGCAATTTTTTTCAAAACAATTTGAATAAAATTCTTCATAGAACTAAATTAATTTCAATAATTTATCAAAATTCAATTATTTTTAATATCTACTATTTCAATAAAAATTCACAAAAGAATTCAATTATTTAAAAAGAAATATATTATTAAAATTCCTCTGAAGAATTTAATTATTTTTCATAAATATTAAAATTCTTCTGAGAATTTCAATTATTTTCAATACAATTATTAACAAATTCGATTGTATTCAAAAAATTAAAAAAAAATTCAATTATTTTCTAAAAATTTTTAATTAAATTCAAGAATTAAATGCTTAATTTAAATTATTAAGAAAGAGGATTATTGTAAAAACTTGAAAGGAATTGTTCATATAGAATTCAATTACTTTGAAAACTTATAATTAAAATTATTAAAGAAACTCCATTATTTTAAAGAAACTCAAAGAAATTCATCAAAAGAATTTAATTAAGATTATTTTCATAAACAATAAAATTCTTCGAAGAAATTCAATTATTATCAAATTTTTAAATAAAATTCTTTGCAAAAATTCAATGATTTGAAAATTTTTTATAAATTTTTTCGCAATAATTCACTCATTTTCATAAATAATGAAGTTCTTCAAAGAAATTAAATTATTATCAAATTATTTAATAAAATTCTTTGTAAGAATTAAATTATTTGCAAATTTTTTATAAATTTCTTCGCAATAATTCAATTATTATTGCCATAAATAATATAAAATTTTTTACAGATATTCAATTATTTTCGTAAATAATAAAATACTTTTTATGAATTCAATTATTTTCATAAATAATATAATATTCGCATGAATTTAATTATTTGCAAAAACAATTTTCATAAAATTTTTCGAAAGAATCAATTATTTAAAATAATTTTTATAAAATTCTTCCTTGGAATTCAATTTATTTAACAAAAAAATTAATAAAAGTTCTTCGTAAGAATTCAATTCTTTTTGAAAATTTTAATAAAATTCGTTGCAAAAATTCAATTATTTAAAAAAATTTTGATAAAATTCTCGGCAAAAATTTCAATTATTTTCAAAAATTTTCCTCAATTCAATTCATTTTCATAAAATCTACTAAAATTTTTCAAAATAATTCAATTATAAAAATTTTAATGAAATTCTTGCGCAAACATTTAATTATATTCATAAAATAATTAAAATTTCACAAGGAATTTAATTATTTTCATAAATAATAAAATTTTTTTAAGGAATTCAATTATTATTTTCATAAAAAATAATTTAAAATTCTAGAAAATAATAATTGAATTCAGATGATGAAAATAATTTTGATGAAGTTACAGTAATATTAAATAATGATTTTATAACTTGGCCATCTTTAATTATTATAAAACATAAAGAAATCGATCACTCCGAGTCTTCGACTCGGAGCAATCGATATCTTCATGTTTTATAACAATACTTTTATAAGTTGTTTAATTTAAAAAAGGTTTGAATTTGAAATTTTTGAATGACTTAATTCCTGTGGAAAATCCTGTTCCAAAAATAAGATTAAAAATAGAAATTGTGCAAATATTTTTCTTCTTTTTCTAAAACAAAATAATAATGTTGTTAAAAAAATTGTGATTCATAAACAAAAATAATAGAAAATAAATAAATTTTCTATTTCTTAATCATAGTTGTTTAACAATTTTTTAATTCTGTTCAGAAGTCAAGAACAAAAATCTGCATGATTTCAATTTGACAAAACATAATATTTATCAAAATTTTTGTTTTTTAATGAAAAGAAGTGAACAAAATTCTGATGATTTCTATTTCTCATTACAATTTTGAATTAATTATAAAATAAAAATAATTATAACAATTTTTATTTAAAGCAAAAAAATAATTTTTTCTCTGGGCGTGTTATAATAATATATATTATTGCTAATATAGTGTCACTATTAAAAAAAAAGATACAAAGTTTCAAAATTTTTAATGCTTGTTTTCAATTCTTATTTTAGTGATTAATATTTATGTATACATTTATATTGAAAAAAAACTATTTCGTTCATTTGAATGTTGAAAATTTTTGAAACACATTAAAAACAGTTGATCAAGAAACTCTAAATAAAAAAGCTTTTTCCGAGGAAACTATAAAAACTTGAATCGAAAAATAGTTCTTCTTGTTCTCTAAATCGTTAGTTCTTAAAATTTGTGAACTTTTAATGCGAATATAAAAAAAATAAAAATTTCCCGAGGGCCAATATTTTATATATACATATATATAAAAATCTAATTGAAAATATTCTCTTTTAACAACATATACAGTTGACAAAAATAACTAAACAGGAATGCGAATGTTTATTTTAAAAGTGAGTGAATGAAAATATATATTTCAGAAAAAGTGATGATATGCTTGTGTTTCTCAATGAAACGTAAATTCCGTCTCTTTTTCTTTCTTCTTTTTTATATCTCGAAAAAAAAATTGTGTGTAAAAATGATTTCATAATTTTTGCGGAACTTTTTTGATCTATTTTCGAAAGTTATTTTGTTTATTTTTCAAAAAAAATACTGATAATCGAGCGTTTCTATTTTGATTTTTATGCATTTGATAATATAATGTCTGAAAATTACAGACAATTTTATTAGAAAATTATTTATTTTATTCAAAGAACAATTTTTTGTTACGATATTAATCAAATAATTGAAATCTCGAATATAAGCAATATAATTAATTTTAATTAAATTTTTTTTAATTTTTAATTAGTTACAATTTTTTACTAAACTTTCAGTGACCGACGACTAAAAATTAGTAAAAATTCTTATTATTGTGAATTAGTGGCTCAATTTTCTTTAATTCAAATTTAGAAAGTTGTTAAAAATTTTAATATTTAATTTTCTTAACAAAATTTTTAATACTTAGATGAATAAAAATAGAAAATAAATAAGAAGAAATTTTTTAAAGCCATATGTAATTTAAATAATAAATATCTAAGATTTATTTGTGCCTAATGGCCAAACGAAAAAAAAATAAGTTACTTATAAATTATAAAAACAAACAATAAAAAATATTTGAATTTAATAAATTGAATAAATAAATAATAATAAAAAATAAGAGATTGTTTATAAATTAATAAAAAACAATAAGAAATAAATAAAAATAAAAGAATATAAACTTCTTTAAATTCTAGAAGTGAAGCAAAAAAATATTTCTTTAACACCAAAAAATATCAAACTCTGAGTGATTATTATTTTTAAAAAAACATGTAATTAGTAATTACGGTAATTTGATAATAAAAGTTTAGTTATTTAAAAAAGAAATTGTTAGTTTGATCATTTTATTGAAATTGATGAAAAAAAAATTGCACGAGAATAATTATTCAAAGTATGAAGTTCTCCGTTATCGAAAGAGAGAGAGAAAGAAAGAGATTGAGAACTAATTATACAACTGTTATCCAAGGATATTTTCAGGGGAACAGGTATTTCAAGCGCGGTGTTTCTAAACAAGTTTTTTGACATCTCGATTGTATATATAGTATAAAGAAAGGAGAGAGAGAGGAAAAAAAATGGTAATAAATTTTCTTAGAATCTACAAAAATATTTTTAACCATAATTTGTGTGACACAAGTTTTATGTTAATTTTTCTTACATATATGACAAATGTTATATATGCGCGGGAAAAAGTAGAAAAAATGTTAAAGAAATTTGTTTTATGATTTATAATTTTTTTTTGTGCAATCGAGAATTTTCTTTCCAAAAAAATTTATAATATAAATGATGATCTATTGGAATCGTTGTCAAATTTTTCAATACGGAAGTGTTGTTTGAGAAGAAGAATTTATAGT